AAAAAAAAAAAAGCATGCAAACAATTGCTTGCCTGAATTAGCTTTCAAAATGTGTACACAGAGCAAAACCTTGTGTTGTACACCATAAAAGTACACGAGATTAAGTTCCCTATTAAAATAAGTAAATAAATAAATGTTTGAAAAGTTTTATCCATGGCACCTGTGCTCCTGGCAGGACCACACAAAGCTGCAATGGCAGCAAAGAACTTTTAAAAGTCGGTTACTATTTTGAGAACCCCACATAGAAGCAGGTGCCCTCTTTAAAAAGTAGAGAATTTTTTTTAAATCTGAAAAAACTAATACTATTTCCACATAGTAAAAAAAAAAATGTTTTTGAGCCCAAACCAGGGTCACCAAACTGTGACCAAATGTAACCTACAGCCTGCTGTTAAACAAATAAGGTTTTATCACAAAATCTACCAGGTGTCCTCAAACTATAGCCTGCAGGCCACATGCAGCCCACCTAGGACATTTATCGGGCCTGCCAGGTTTTTTTGCCGTATCCTGCTTAGCAGCTGACTTGCCCTGGGGCCCACAGTCCAGCCCTCCAACCGTCTGAGGAACAGTGAACTGGCCCCCTGTTTAAAAAGTTTGAGGACCCCTGAATTTGTTTTCTATAGTACTGTCCATGGCTAACTTCCCACTCCAAGGGCAGAGTTGACAGTTATAAGAGAAACCTGTCAAAATATTTTTTGCCAGGCACAGTGGCTAATGCCTCTCATCCTAGCACTCTGGAGGGCCAAGCCTGGTAGATTGCCTAAGTTCAGGAGTTCCAGACCAGCTTCAGCCAGAGCAAGACCCTGTCTCTAAAAACAGCTGGGCATTGTGACAATCACCTGTAGACTCAGCAACTCACGAGCTGAGGCAAGAGGATCACTTGAGCCCAGGAGTTTGAGGTTGCTGTGAGCTGTGATGCCACAGCACTTTACCAAGGGTGACAAAATAAAACTCTGTCTCAAAAAGATATTTAAAAATATTTATTATGTGGCTTCTGACAGAAAGTTTCTAATGACTGCTCTAAACTAAGCTTAGATGACAGTGCATTAGCACTATGAAAAAAGAATGACATCCCACCAAAATAATACTTTGAAACATTAGGAATTAAAATATTATGAGCAGGGCGCCCATAGCTCAATGGTTAGAGCACTGCCCTGTGCACCAGGGCTGGTGGGTTCAAACCTGGCCTGGGCCTGCTAATAAATAAATACATAAGTAAGTAAATAAATTACTGTGAGCAGACGAGCAGATGAATATTTGATACATTTTATTTCTAGCAATATTAAAAGGCCTTGAGTTGGACTCAGGTTACGATCTGAATTCCTTTGCAAGTAATAGATTGTTCCTGAAAGATTAGTAGCTTAGAGGATAAAAAAGTTTGAAGTTGAATATATACCCATCTCTTATGATGTATTTAATATAAAATTCATTGGGTATCCAACAATGATTTTTCATTAAGCAACTTTGAATCAAACTGTAATGCGAAATAAAAACAAAAAAAGAATCGCCTTCCTCAGGATGTATCCAATTATCCTCCAAGTCACAAATCAGACTGTCTAATTGATTGGACCGCCTCGAAGGGTCAAAGCTGTAACCCTCAGTGAAAATTAAACACAGGCATCCTCAGCTTCTATCCTCATTAATGCCTTGGTGTATCAGACTCTTTCTAGGACGAGGCAATGTCAATAAAGGACACACTTGGTGTTGAAATGTACCACTCCAGCACTAATAAGTGAGGTGGTACCACCCAGGGCTCCCACCTCCCTGCACGGGTTCCTGGAGCTTTCTCAGCTGTGTCCCTCACACTGTTCCCACAGCAAATACTCACTGAACTGGACCTCATCACAACCCAACCAAACCCCACACTATTGTGATCTAATCCAACCAGATCTCATCACACTATTACTGAAACAGACTTGAACACAAGCTAACCAAACCACACCTTGTGATGACCTAACTCAGCCAGTTGTCATTACCTAATCCGACAAGACTTGACCATGTCCTACCCAACTACCTCATCAGGGTGTGATCAACCTGGACATTACCAGGACCTGATACAACTAGACCTCGCATGACTAAAATAGCTAGATCTTATAAAATAACTAGATCTTATCAAAACTAAAATAGCTAGATCTTATCAAAACGAAAATAACTAGATCTTATCAAAACTAAAATAGCTAGGTCTTATCAAAACTAAAATAGCTAGATCTTATCAAAACTAAAATAGCTAGACCTTATCAAAACTAAAGTAACTAGATCTTAGCAAAACTAAAATAGCTAGATCTTACCAAAACTAAAATAACTAGATCTTATCAAAACTAAAATAGCTGGATCTTATCAAAATGAAAATAACTAGATCTTATCAAAACTAAAAGAGCTAGATCTTATCAAAACTAAAGTAACTAGATCTTAGCAAAACTAAAATAACTAGATTTTAGCAAAACTAAAATAGCTAGATCTTACCAAAACTAAAATAACTAGATCTTGGCAAAAGTAAAATAATTAGATCTTAGCAAAAGTAAAATAACTAGATCTTAGCAAAAGTAAAATAACTAGATCTTATCAAAACTAAAATAAGTAGATCTTATCAAAACCTAACCCAAATAAACCTCACATGACTTAAAATAACAAGACCTCACACAACCTACCCAACTAGACCTCACATATAACTAGACCTCACATAACCTTACCCTACTAGACCTCACATGACCTATCCTACTAGACCTCATACAGTCTATCCAACTAGACCTCACATGACCTACCTAACTAAACTTCATATACCCTACCCAACTAGACCTCACATGATCTATCTAACTATATTGCACATAACCTATCCAATTAGACCTCACATGTCCTACGTAACTAAACTTCACACACCCTACCCAACCAGACCTCACATGATCTACCCAACTAGACCTCACATGATCCATCTAACTATATGGCACATAACCTATCCAACTAGAGTTCACATGTCCTACCTAACTAAACTTCACACACCCTACCCAGCTAGACCTCACATGATCTACCCAACTAGACCTCACATCAAAACCTAACCCAACTACACCTCACATCATCAAATATAACTAGACATCACATGGCAACCAGCTAGACCTCATACAGTCTACCCACCTAGACCTCACACCATCTACTCAACTAGACCTCACATGACTTACTCAATTAGACCTCACATGGCCTAATATAACTAGAACAGACCTCCCGTGACCAACCCAACTAGACCTCATACAGCCTACTCAACTAGACCTCACATGATCTACCTAACTAAACTTCATATACCCTACCCAAATAGACCTTACATGATCTACCCAACTAGACCTCACATAATATACCTAACTATATTGCACATAACCTATCCAACTAGACCTCATGTGTCCTACCCAACTAGACTTTGCATGACCTAAAACAACTAGACTTCACATGACCTAATACAACTAGACCTCACATGACCTACCTAACCAGACCTCATCAAAACTAACTCAACTACACCTCACATCATCAAATATAACTAGACCTCACATGGCAACCAGCTAGACCTCACATGACCAACCCAAGTAACGTCATACAGCCTACCCAACTAGACTTCACATGACCTACTCAACTAGACCTCACATGGCCTACTATAACTAGATCAGACCTCCTATAACCAACCCAACTAGACGTCATACAGCCTACCCAACTAGACCTCACATGATCTACCCAACTAGAGTTCACATGACCTATCCAACTAGACCTCACATGACCTACCCAACTGCACTTCATATGACCGTCCCAGCTAGACCTCACATCACCAAATATAACCAGACTTCACATTACCTAATACAACTAGACCTCACATGACTTACCCAACTAAACCTACATGACCTAAAACAACTAGATCACATATAACTCACCCAACCAGACCTCACATAACCAAATAAAACTAGACCTCACATAATCTATCCAACTAGCAGCCCAAGAACAACTAATAAAGACATATTTTGTTATTTTTCCAGTAAGGCAAATCTAATAGATTTTTTCTGGATTTTTTCCAGAAAAAATACACGATCAATACAGAAACACAACAAACACGAATTTCAGAAAGATTATTACAATTTCCTGTCTTTCCACGTTTTTGAATATTTGCCTTTATAGATATTCTGTATCTGACCTTGTCTTCGATCTGGAAATCTGCATCCATCTACAAAGGCACACGTGAGCATCTCACATTAGGTATAAAACAAAGCTAACTGTAAAAATCATCACCTATGATAACATGCATGCCGAGTCTCGCCAGATACCTCGCCGTGGCGTAGCCGATGCCATCTGTCCCGCCGGTCACTATGGCGACACGGTCCGGTTGTGGGGGGAAAACTAAAACAGAAGAACAAAGAAATCAAAGTTAAGATTTAAAAGCAGAGTATACTTGTTAGAAATAAGCCCCCAGAGACGCTCAATACCCAGCGCCCAGAAGAAGTGATGGTTCTATTATTTCTGGTTTTCTTCCCTTGAATTCCCAGGAGCTCAGGATACATGAACATAATAAAGTGGATTAGCCTTGAGTAATGACAATGTGGTAAAAGACACCTGATAAAGCCACATTCATCCCCCCTGAGGCTTTGCCGGGCTCTGGAAGATGCTTCCTGTGTGACTTGCAAAAAACGTCTCCATACTATATAGCCTTGGTGGCAGCAGGCAAGAATCCTGGAATAACCTCTGTTGCTGAGGTAGCACTGAGCAGAACATTTGAGTCGGTGTTTTGAAATGTAGATTTAAATGGGATTTAGGTAGGATGAGGCTAAGAGATCAGAAGACAATAGTCAATAAAGAGATGGTTTATTACTCACAGTTCCCAAGAGGAGGAGGGTACAAGCCATGCCATGGAGTCCATAAGGGAAGGATTGGGGTTGGTTAGGAGGCAGAAAGAGGGTGTAACTGGAGGCAACAGCCTTTATTATTGTTTGCAAAGGAGGGAATACGGGAGAAGAGGGAGGGGAGAGCAGGAGAGGGGAGCGCAGGGAAGGGAAGGGAAGGGAAGGGAAGGGAAGGG